GTCGTAGTCGTTGTAGTCGTAGTCGTAGTAGTCGTAGTAATAGTAGTAGTAGTACTAGTAGTAGTAGTAGTAGTAGTAGTAGTAGTAGTAGTAGTCGTAGTAGTAGTAGTAGTAGTAGTAGTAGTTCACCAAACTAGGCCTGCTATGGCTCCCTGTCGCTCATCCCCAATCTTCCCGCAAGCTTCGCAACCCTATGTGTAGAATCGGATTTGAGCCAGGTGACACGAATTCGATTGCACAAAATTTACGGATCCTCCCTACATTGCCGTGCATGTCTCGGTGAATTCGCACGACAACAACTCAGTCCCCAGAATGGTTAGGCCGAGTGGGAAAGAGTGGCCCCCTTAAAATCGCGGGTGCTTTGCTAAACCCTATACAGTTTAGGCCGTCAAACTTTAACATTTGGAATCGAGACACCTGGCACAGGATCTAGCGTGGATTCGGGCGCCTCGGTAGACCTTTTGAGAGTGCCGGCCACAAGGATTCTAGACTCTCCCGTGCCAGCTGTTTCCTCTTTCTTTGAGCATTGTGGAGTGAGCCGAATCCAAAACCACTCAGCCCCTCAACAACTTCTACGAGCCTAGACGGAGCAGCCTTTCAAAACCTGCCCACAGCAGAATTAGCAAGAACTTCTACATCCACCCCATAGCACTCGGAACCCACAATATACCCTAAACCCTAAACCCTTAACCCGAAGCCCTAAACCCTAAACCCTAAACCCTAAGCCCTAAACCCTAAACCCTAAGCCCTAAACCCTAAGCCCTAAACCCTAAACCCTAAAGCTGCCTGGAGCTGATCGCGCAGCCCGAAGTTGGCGAGCACCTCTCCCGCCTGGCTTTCCATGGGACTCTGAAGATCCCTTTAAAACGGGTAGATCTCAGGGTTTAGGGTTTAGGGTTTAGGGTTTAAGGTTTTTTAGGTCCCCCAAGAAAGTACGGCAACCTTACAACAGGGACCCCCCCCCCCCCCACAAGGGACCCCTAATTTCGAGAACTGCTCGAATGCAGAGTTGTGCCTGAAACAAGGGCTCCAGTAGGTGCCAAACCCTAACAAGCCCGAGACGTCCCAACTCAAAAAGGCTTTAACTGGCTTGTAGTTTTGGGGCCCTTGAAAGCATTTATGAGTAGGTACCTCTATAAGAACCCTAAACCCTAAACCTATAAGGGAACTTTTCAAGCTTCCCAAAGGGTCACACTCACCCCTTGGACCCGAATCCAGCCGTTGGGGTGGGCTGTCCTTGCCCAGGGCTTGAAAATCAGGGTTTGTGGTTTTTCATTGTTTAGGATTTGGGGTTCAGGGTTTAGGGGTTTAGGGTGATTTGGTAGAAGTCTTTGATATGAAAGCAGCTTTGCGGCATTAGCTCTTTGTGCATGTCAGGGTCGCTGCAACCAGTCGCTTTGCTGAGCCCTGAGCCCTAAACTCTAAACCCTAAAACCCAAGCCCTAAACCCTCAAGAAGAAATTGCTTGTTGCTGTTTGCCATCCGCAGCCCAGCCCAGGCCAGCCCGCCAGCCCAGCCCAGCCCCAGCCCAGCCCCAGCCCAGCCCAGCCCGCGCTCCTCCGAGGGCAGGCAGTGCCCACGACAGAGGGTTGACGGAGGGAGAGAGGGAGGAGACAGAGAGTGAGAGAGGAGAGGACTAAACCTTAGTGACTAAACTAGAAGCGACTCGGAAGGAGGGGGAAATAGAGACCAGAGGGGAAATGGACCCTGAGAGAGGGAGCGAACAAGGGAGAAAGAGAGCGAGAGGGAGAGAGGGAGACTTTTTTGGGAAAGTTGCAGTGATGAAAAAAACTCAAGGTTGTCGAAGCAAGACCCTGCTTCAACAGGACTCAATGACTCTCGCCCTGCCCTGCACCTCGTTCTTCAGGTATGGGTGATGCAACCAGCCGAACACACCCAGCCTCCAGAGAGATACTGTAGGGGCCTTAACAATTAGAATAGGGTCTTGGGGGCTCCTTATCACAATTATAGTACAAAATACCAAAAAAAAAACCCTATTCTGTGTATGAAGGCCTCTTGGGGGCTCCTTATCATAATTATGGTATAAAATACCAAAAAAAACCTATTCTGTGTATTAAGGCCTCTATATTACTTCGTGGCTGAGGGGCTCCACCTAGGGCTCATGCCCGGCGGTTCAAGGGTCATAGCTCGTGGCCTGCTACTGTTGATGATATAAATCCTGCATTACCTCAAAGACCCAAACTATGTGAAGTATGGTCCATTCCGCTTTTATGGGTAACCCTAAACTCACACACACTCTAAACCCTAAACTCTAAACCCTATATTCCCTATTATGGGTAATGCAGGATTTATATCATCAGTCGTGGTCTTTAGGGTTGGTCCGGCAAGTGGGACGGCAGGCCTGGAGATCGGAAGTTCGGTTTAAGGTTTAGGGTTTAGGGTTTAGAGTTTTGGTGACTGAATTCCAGGGGTTGCTTCAGGATGGTTCCCTAACCTAAACCCTCTCAAGTTTGTGCCGTGCAGCAAACCAAAACCATCCAAAACCCTGAACTTGAGGTAAACCCTAAGCCCCTAAGCCCTATGGAACCCTAAACGCTGAGATTTCGGGGTTCCGGGCTATATTTTGCTGCTCAGGCTTGAGGAGGGCTTCGGGCTTCGGAGGTTCTGGCAAGGACAAGCAGAGCTCCCAACGAAGGACCGGAATCAGCTAGCACCGACGATGATTCTTAAGGATGCTTCCTTCGCCAAGGCGGGTTTAGGGTTTAGGGTTTAGGGTTTAGGGTTTAGGGTTTGTGGCGTAGTACTTAAACTCGAAACGCCAGACCCCCATAAATCCTAAACCCAAAACCCTAAACCAACCTAAACCCCAGCACCTTTAATTTAGGGACCTTAATGATTAGAATAGGGTTTTGGGGCCCATTATACTATAAGTATAATAAGGAACCCCCAGAATAGTATTGGTAATTTTTTAGGCCCCTATATTACATGCATCCCTTCTAGAAGAACCCTAGACCCTAAACCCTAAACCCACACCCCTAGACCCTAAACCCTAAACACACACCCCTAAA